CATGTCAACATACATAAATGTAAGTGCACAGTTAATCAAGAACACTTCCATGTCACTTGCCTCAGTGCCACTGGTATTGTTGTTCTTGTTATTGCTGCCACCACATTTCAAATTGTTGCCCATAAATCAGCGTACACTTGTACATATGTACAGGCATACAGGCTGCAGGAAATGCAAAAAAGTTTTTCTATAAAAATAGTTTGACATATCATTTCAAGCTGGTTGACAGATAATGAAATTGTTGAAAAGTTTTGTGCACCGAAAGAAGAAAAAATGGCGCACAAAAAATTGATTCAGCCTAACAGTAAACCAAGAAGACGAAGAATAATGTATGTTTTTAGAAGTTTGCACATGCATAAATATATTTCTACTATGTATATCAGAATGTGTAAATCGGTAGGAGTTCATGTTATTTTTAGTGTTATTATGCACTGGTGCGTAAGATATTTCGATTAGATTATTTTATGTTGTGAGCTATCATTCAGTTACTTAACTTATGATTTTTTATTTTTGATAAACTAAAAAAGGAAATAGCAAAATACATACACACATATCGCTAACTAAAGGTGAAAAGGTGCCAAGTCGACTATTTTCAAAAATTTAGTTCTACATGCAGAATGACATATAATGCGAAACTTCATCGATTTTTCGTCTCTCCTGAATAATTTCAAAAAAATGGACCTGGCGCCTTAACACCTTTCGGTAAAGATATAAGCTGTTCGTTTTGAAATTGGCACAGGTCCTTAACCTATAAATTTTTCAAAAGTAAATACTGCAAATTCGCAAGGATACTCAAGGACGAAATTTTAAAAGTGTATTTTCAATACCTAAATATTTATTCTTATGCACCAAAAAATTCAATATTTTTAAATTTTACAGAATTTTTTCCTTTATTGTTATTCTATAAGCGCCGAATTTTTTAAGCAATTTTTGTAACTAATCAAATCTTTTAAATTTGAAAATCCTGACGCCAGAGAAAGAAACAAAGAACGCAGTTTTACTGTATTTGGCTCCTAGCTTTGCGAGTATTTTTTTTTTTTTTTTTTTTTTTTTGGGGGGGGGGGAAATTGACTTTTGCTCCGTGTAATCCCTGTTCTCATTAACCTAATTTTTTTTGAGTGACTTATGCCACTTTCAAAGTAAACATTTTCGTTAAACCGCTCTCGAACAAAACCTTAGTATTTCTGAGCATTTCAATGACTTTTTTTTAATTAACAGGTACCGTTAAATTCTAATTGGTGTCATCATTAACTAGATTTTTTGAAAAGGTGACTTATGCCACTTTCAAAATAAACGGCTCATATGTATGTCGACGTTATCAGTGCAATGACGTGTTTTCGAAGTGAAATTTCTTGTGCGCTGGTAATGAATTGAAAAATTAACATCGCACAGGCAGCGAGATTGCTTTAATATTGATAATATGATAATAGTTTGGCGCTTACATTTTTGCATACAGTGTTTGGCTGGGCTTCTTCTCCAATTTGTTGTGTGCGGTTAGATGTTATAACACAAATGGCGGTACCTACTGTTTTACGCCGACTTCGAACTGCAATAGGCTTTATGAGATGGTTTTTCATGGGCGAATAAACTTGTCGAGTATATCTTGTCTAGTAATCACGGTTGCCACACCACAACAAATTTCCGACCAGAATTTACAAAAACAGTTACCTAAAAGTTCCCAAGTAAAAAACAACATTTTATTATACAATAAACTGTAAAAACAAACCTCGTTTATTTGCCATAAATAAGACATGGATACAATAAATAGTTTTATTAAAAGAAAACTGAACTAATTAATTTTACATATGAGGGCATGAGGGGCAGAGGAGCCTTTCTACAAAAACATTTTTAATAATATGAGAAAGAAGGATCTATAAAAAATAAATGCGGTATTTTACTAAAAGATTTATTGCACCTACGTTATTATGTTCGGTTTAATATGTACTTTATTACACGAAACTATAGATCAGTGTACAACTATGATAATTGATATCTTAGAATTGAAAATGATGTAATACTTATAGTGACAGTCAAAATGTATCGATAAAAAGATGTTACCATACGATTACAATAACGTACCAAACTTAAGGCTAGTATCATTTGAGACATAATAATCTCCCACGCTAATAAAGTTCATGGTCTTGAAGTCGGACTGGCGGTTTACGTGCCCTTCCTGATCGTCTTACGGGCTCGGGTTGTCGTTCGGCGTCCTGTTGTGGATGTACCACCTCCTGTCTTTCGGCTTGTTGCTGTGGAGCTATGTGCGGAGCTACTCGACGCTCGATGATTATCTCGTTTGGTAGTTTCTGTTTTCTCTCTATTACCGTAGTTTCTTTGCGATCCTCGACGTTAGTTACGCTTGATTTATAAAGTTGGTTTATGTGTCTCTTGAGGGTATAGCCATTATCTAATTCAACTTGATAATGTAACTTCCCGAACTTTTCTGTAACTACGCCGAATTTCCATGTTGCTTTATTTTTGTGAAACCATCTTACTTGCACCCGGTCTCCCACGCTAAATTTTCGGGCTCGGTCTGAAACCATAGGTGACGACGTTGCTTCGCCGTAGTGTACGGGTTTAATAGCATCTAACCTGGTTCGAGTTTTCCGCCCCAGGTAAATTTCCGCGGGAGTTTTGTTATTTTCTAAAGGTGTGATTCGATAACGGTTTACAATTTCTTGGACCCTCTTGCGCATTGGTATGTTAACGTGCTGCATTGCTTCGAGTTTGTTCTTCAGCGTTTGGATGTGTCTTTCCGCTAGACCGTTCGTAGCTGGGTGTCCTGGTGCGATAAATTTTTGAACGATGCCGTTACTTTGGCAGAATAATCTGAACGATTTGCTTTGAAAAATTGTAGCGTTGTCGGAGACTAGCACTTGTGGCAGTCCATGTGTTGAAAACATATCTTCTAATAACTCGATCGTGCTCTCGGACGTGGGTGCATTCTTGATTACCCTTATATCCGGCCATTTTGATTTTGCGTCGATGAGAACGAAGAAAAAATGATTTTGAAATGGACCCGCATAGTCCATGTGAACCCTTTCAAAATTTTCTTGCGGCTGTTCCCAACCATGAGTGGTTATTTGTGCTGGATCCTTTCGGACCATCGCGCAGTCATGGCACGATTTTACTAAGCTTTCTATATCTGCATCGATGCCTTTCCAGTAGCAATATCGCCGAGCCATTTGTTTAATTTTCACGATTCCCAAATGTGTGTAGTGCAACTCTTTTAGGATTTCGCCACGCAGGGACTTTGGAATCATTACCCTTTGGCCCTTCAATACAATATCACTTTGTATGGTGTATTCCGGATCTTGAATTTTACCATTTATCAATTTCGTTCTCAATTCAGCTAGCTCCGGGTCATTTCCGGTTTCTTTTGCAATAGATATTGCCGTAACTATGTTGGTGGATATTGTATTTACTGTTTCTATTTGTATTGCATTCACTTCCTCATCTAGAAAATATGTGAATCTATTCGACGAGTCTTTTGCTGGTGCTCTAGACAAACAATCGACGTGTGTAATCAGTTCTGATTTCCGATGCTTCATTTTATAATTAAAACCTTGAAGAAAAGAGGCGTAACGTAGTAGTCGAGCCGATGTCATTGCCGGAATTTTTTCGCTCTGATGCAGAATTCGAGAAAGGGGGCGATTATCTGTGACTAATGTAAATTCTCTTGCATACAAATATTGAAAAAATTTGTCAACTGCGAATATTATTGCTAGCGCTTCGCGATATAACTGACTATAATTTTGTTCTGCTTTAGTTAACGCTCGTGAGATAAATGATACCGGTCGTTCGACCCCATTTTCTTCATGCGCCAGCACTCCCGCAATGCCCGTAGGGCTAGCATCACACGTCAAAACCACAGGCAAATCTGCATCATACGGCCTCAAAAGTCTATCGGTTAGAATTTCGCGCTTAAGTCTTTCGAACGAGGATTGACATTCCTTGGACCATTTAAATTTTGTATTTTTGGATAGTAGCTTCCTCAAAGGGTAAGTAATAGTTGATAGATCTGGAATGAACCGCGAGTAATACGTTATCATTCCCAAGAACCTTCTCAGATCATCAGGGCTCTTTGGGGTCGGAATATCGCGAATGGCTTTTACTTTTTCCGGACATTTTGTGATTTTATTGTATTCTATCGTATACCCCAAATACTGTATTCTTTCTCTATAGAACTGACATTTATCTCTGTTAACGTGCAAGTTGTATTCTTTCAACTTATCTAGGCACTTCGTTAGCCTTTCTTCGCATTCTTGTTTGGTTTTCGCGAATACAATAATATCATCAAAATATGATGATGTTCCTGGCAAATCACGTAAGATTTGGTCTAAGATACAGTTAAATTCGCTCGGCGCGGTCTTAACCCCGAACGCGAGACGATTCATGCGATATGTGCCTCTGTGTGTTGATATTGTTTGTATGTTCTTACTTTCTTCATCAACCTTTACGTGCAGGTACGCTTTATATAGGTCGAGCTTACAGAAGTATTTGCAATCTTTTAGGGTATTCAGTATTTCGTCAACTCTTCTGATTGGGTAGTGAGCTGGCTCTAATTGTGGGTTGACGGCTATTTTGTAGTCGACGCACAGACGGACCTTGCCGTTCGGTTTTGGAATAACCACCAATGGTGAACCCCAGTTGCTGGTATTCACTTTCGTGATAATGCCATCGCGCTCCCATTCCCGAGCTCTTCCTCGACCTTATCTCTTAGTGCGAAAGGTACTTGTCGCTCTCTCAAAAATACAGGTTTTGCTCCTGGTACCAACTTCAGTGAGCATGAAATGTTCGGTATGCACCCCACTTTTTGTTCAAATACTTCCGGATATTTTGTTACTAGACTTTCAATAGAATTTATGTTGCATAGAGTTTTTGCCTTTACTTGTTTATCAACATCTTTTAGCTTAATACCTAGCTTTCGAATCCAAACTCGACCTAAGAGAGGCGTATGCCTAGCGGATACCACATACAGATCTACTATTGACTTATTATTTTTGTACTCTACCGTTACTTTTGCTACTCCTTTTGGTAGAAAAATTTCTCCGGTATACGAACGTAAAGCGACGTTCGACTTCTGTAGGTTTACATTCAGTTTCAGTTTATTGAAATCATTTTCTGGTAATAAGGTGTACCCGGCCCCTGAATCAACTTCGAACTTTTGGCTTTTTCCCTCTATGAGTACTTTTGCATAGAATTTGTCTATTTCTCTCTTTGATATATCTGCATTTTTGTATATGTCTATAACTTTGTGGATATCCGCGGTATCTTCTGAAAATTCACTTTCCGAATCTGTAACTTTATTCGTTTGTTTTAGATCTTTTCTTTGCTTCATTTTGTATTGTATACATACGTCTTTTACATGCCCTGTTTTGTGACAGTATTCACAGTTTAGTTTGTTTTTGTTCATTTTGCAGTTCTTTGTCATACATATTATAGTAAAAGAAAACTAAAAGGGCGTGCCGTTTCGTTTCTATTCTGGTAATGCATTTTAAGGTGCACCTCAACTTTTTTTGAAATGTCGGTTAAGCTACTCTGGCGCTCAAGGCCTCATGTAATAGATACATTTGCATACATACGTATATAAATATATTTTTACTCAATCTCTGTATACGTATGTACGTAACAAAAATTTGTGAAACAAAAAACAGCACACAAATACAAATACACCGCACAAACTGCTGTTCAAACCTTCTTTTTCATTTCCTCTAAATATGCATCAAAGATCTGTCAATAAATATTGATCGTGTTGCATATTTCGTGATATCAATTCACGGCTCGGCATTTCGCGTTGCATTTCGAACAAATTAGATGTGATATCACCATACATATAATAAAAAGTATAGATGATTTTCAATAAAATAATAATAAGATTTCCAGGCTTCACCTATTGGACTTTAAACCTCTGAACACAAAAACATGTAAATACTGACGCGATAAATATTGGCCATGTAGCATTCCCGCGCGATCCATAACCATTGTGAAATCTATCAATATGGATCACGATCCAAATATCATAATAAATATTGAACGTGTGACAGGCGCCCCACACTGTGATAAATTAACGAGTAGACTGCCCAGCGATAATTTGTTTGTGGTTAGTTTTTTTGGCTGAGCGCTGTGTTGCCTGATCAATGCAATTGTTTATAGCAGTGTTGTCACCGCTACACACAACCACAGTACATTTTATCAAATTAATCCAACTTTTCGGTGACTTCATACAGGGCAAACTTTCCAAAATAAAAGGAAAGTTGCCAAGTTACCAAGCACTCGAAAAGTTACCTATTTTGGTCACAAATGACCAAATGTGGCAACCGTGCTAGTAATAACTGCTCATTATTATGCAGAAGAATAAATACTCGAATAATAAGCGAAACAAATTTTGCTTCATCAGATCTGCACTGATTGTACGAGTTAAAAATATGAGTGGTCAAATTAAAGGCTTGACCTATAAATGTGCAGTAAGATTTAAGTTTAGTGGAACAATTTTTAAAAACTTTTAACTCAAGTAATTAAATAAGTTAAATCAATTATTACGATATTATTTCTTAACTTAATGTAGGCAAATTGCCATCTGTTAAAAAAATCAAATTCAATTTAAACACATTTAAGACAATTAAATAAAACTTTTTAATTTGAATCCTTTTTTTACCACCTGTTTGAAAAGTATAATGCAATTATATATGCACAAGTTATATGAAATATTAAAATGTGTGTATCAAACGGGGTAGCCGGCTCTTTTAAAAGTTAAATTCAAATTATCTAACACGTTAAACGAATGATTAAAAGATAGGTATAAATGGAAATTAGTTGAAAAAGGCGTTGTTTTCGAACTATATTTAAAAGAGTGTTCACGAAGGCGAAAAACCAAATTCAACTTAATTCATCTATTAATTGAAGTTTTGTAGCCTAATATCAGACCAAAGAGATTTAGGATGATTTAAGTTTGAAAATAATTTTTATACTGGTTGCCACCTTATTGGAAGGTCGAATTTAGTTAACTTGTACACAAGATATGTATGTATATGTGTATACATTATACATGGAAACTACACATACACTAATACATATGTATGGTGGCCCAACTTTGTCCCTATAAACCACTTAACCGCCGATAAGTTGGCAACAGATTCTTTTGAAAATCAATTTTTATTTTCAATTCAATTTAATCCGTAAAGCACTTCCAAGCAAATTATTGTATTCGTCTTCGTCTCTTCGCTGCTCTGGCCCAGAAATTTTACAACTTTACTTTCGCTGTACTCTTTGGTCTGTTGGCTTACGGCTTATGGAGCACCATTAACGCTCTATGTACATACATATGTATGTTTGTATAGTTGCAAAATGACCTCGAGCATAGCTGACTTGCTGCTGTCTTATCGTCGACGAAGCACTACTTACAGACAATTCAAGCTCACTTACACTTGCATAAAAATGCATATATGATGCATAATATACGTTTGTATTTAAAAGCATTCGCATATATTTGCACTTAACTGCGTATTAAATGTAGTTTAGCGGAATCGTTATCCTTGATCCTGATTAAATTCACTAGCGCGCTTGCCAGCAAACTTCTCTATTCGCACGTATGTATGTAATATATTCGTATATGTATGTATGTGTGTAAACAAAAGTTATGGTCGCTTTTAATTGAATTTCTGAAAATTTAAAAAAAAATTTTAAAAAATCAGCCGCTGTCAGTGAAATATTCGGATTGAAAACCTATTGCACAAAAAAGGTTTTAAGCAGCTAACTGTAAACGACATCAAACCATCATCGGCACAGCTGCCGCGGGATGGGAAAGAAAAAGAAAATAGCCGCCCACTTACACGCCCCGAATATCAGTAAGCCATTTAAACGGGGATAGCCGGAGACTTATCACCACCCATTTTTCCCAGTCCATGTCTCAGTCGAAGACCTCCAAGTTGCGAATCATTTAAAAGCACACATTTGCGTCTACATATGTATATATGTATGTACATGTAGGACCACACGACTGACCACCAAAGGCGAAGAAGTCATGTTAAGTGTCGAATGCGATTGGCAATTAGTTGCGGCATTAAAGGATCAAGCAGTCAAGAAAAAGACCAACACTAGATACACATACATAACGATTTAACGCCAATTTTGCGATTTGCGCGTAAAAATTTAAGAAATCGCCTTTGGCAATTTTTGGCGATTTTTTCCCTTCAATTCAATTTTTTGTGCGCTATCATGTAAATGTGTCGGAACACTTAATAAGTAGGTTATGGAGTTAGAGCTTTAATTTTGATGTGGCAACACTTTTTATAGTTATCGATTTTGTTGTAGCATATCGAATATTTGCCAATATTAAACCTCTATTTGTGACAACTCCCGCTGAATGTGAAATTTGCAATTTCATTTGTGGAAATAGCTGATCTCGCCTGATTACAGCTTTTAATTTTATTTTTAGCGCCGAGCGCTTTAAAGCGGATTGTGCGATTAATCAATTAATATGAGTTATAATAAATTTATTAATTGCGCAGTCCTATTGGGAAATGTGTTAATGCATAATACTTTTTAAAAG